CCCTTGAATGCCGCCTCTCAAGGGCTCAATTCTCAAGATCATCACGATCCGATAGCTGCATATGCAGACATCCCCTTTAACACAGCGTATCGCATCCTTGCGGAGTTAAGCGGTAGTGAACTGAGCGAAGAGGCGCGTCATAATTGCTTCTGAGAATTGGCCCGCCAAAGCGGGCGACTTCTCTCTGACGACGAACACTTCAAGATGCCAACTAGGGGATATAAAAGGTTCTATGGTAGCTTTTTGTGGGTATGTATCTGTCTCCCCATCCCGTTGATTGAGACATCTCTACACTGTCTTCTCCCCCCAAATTTTGAACTTCGAGCAGCAACACAAAACAGCGTCAACTGTAACCCCCTCCATCATGCTCTGTTTACCACAGGCTGATTGCATGTTCTCAAGTACAGGGTAGCCGTGATATATACAAGAGTCAATCCTAGATGTTGTACATATGAATAGCGAGCAAGCTCCTGCTTTTGGCGCCTATTCCGCGTCGTCCTTCTCAGGACCCGCCTTCGCTTCGAACGTCGACATCGTCCATCCATACACCCGCGAAAGCCGAGCGCCGTACCATTTCGCCATGACGTGCGGTATGATCGCGTCAGGATGGGGCTATCACGATCGCACATGAGTATGCATCACTGCAACAACTGAGAGCGCGACTGACCCTGTGAAAGGAGATCGGACGCGCGGTTTTGGCGGGAGGGTCAAAGCGGACCGACGATCCTGCCGTCTGTACGATCTGGAAGCCGATACGACGCATGACCTGGTGGCGTTGAAGGACGGCTCTCATGAGCGATAGATGCGAATGAACGTTAGACCATCAATTCTGACCTTCTCGAAGTCCTGCCATCGAACCTCGCCTTTCGCAGGCGCGTCCGCGTCCCGTTTGTCCCAATCATCATCATCGTAGCGCCCGTCTAGAAGACGGTGAATAATCTAGCGGGGTCCCATGTCAGTTGCATAAACGCCAGTGCGAAGCTGAATTCAACCCGCCTTCGCCATCTTCTTGGGCAGCACAAACTTGCCGGGAAGCGCATCGGGAACTTCATCGAGGTTCACAGTTTGAGGCTGGTCAACTTGTGTTTGAGCGGGTGTTGTCTCCTCAGTGATCTTGGTCGCATCTAGAGAGGCAGTGACGCCCTTGTACGACAGATAAGATCAGCAAGATATGGTGATTGAAGGACGCGCTGACGCTCACGTCGACGGAAGCAGTGGCATCCGGTTCCTCAGACTTGTTGGCAGCCTTGCCCTTCTTTTTCTTCTTCTTGCTTTTGGAAGCTGTACTTTCCGTCCCTGCCTCCGTCGCATACTTGTGCCCCGACATAGCGGCATCATCCTTGGCGCCAGGCATCGCCACGGGAATCGATGATTCATAGACCTTTGCCGTCGGCGCGGGTGTAGTCTGTGGCTTGGGGCTCCCCTCCAACAATTTCCTTTCCAACCTCTTTCTGAACGTTAACCGCCCAGGATCCTTAGGATCGAGCAGACCGTACATCCTCGCGACAGTCCCGGCTTGACCGGGCTTGTCGAGCTTGCTTGCCATGCGCCAAAGATCTTCGTCTAAACGGAGCATGAGAGGATCGAACAGGGACATATCCTGAACCCAGAAGTTCTGCGCCGTGTACGTCCCGTCGCCGAGCTCCGGTCCATAGTAGAGATTGTCACCCTGATTAAGAAGCCCGTCAGAGATTGGACTCGGATGTACAGGACTCAGGATGATGGATAGACTGACGACTCGGGCTTGTATCCAACGCATGACTTGATCGTGCGATACACTGCTCGCCTTGCCATACTTGTACATTGGACGGGGAGCAGAAGGCGAGTCGGAGCCCAGCTGCAGGAATGCCAGGCGCGAAACAATCTCAGGGTTGGAGCAACGGGACATAATGGACAATGCGTATGCTTTGAAAGTCTCTCCGAAGGGCGAATCGTACATGTTGGTGATGAACTCCTGCACTATGGAATGACAGCGATGTCAATGAGCATCATCCAGATCTCACAGAAGCTGCAGCGAGAACGTGTACTTACCGATGGCATAGTCTCCTATGATCTCGTACGCCGCGGGACTGAACCTCTGACCGACCCTGGCATCATGTTTCTTTTGTACCGTGAACACAGAGCATTGGGAGAAGATCATGCACACATACCACTGCGAGCTGCAGCTCAGCAAAGAAGACAATGGTCGGCCAACCATCAGGCGATAGAATGAAGCAGTTCAGAACGGCGTGGTCGAGAGAATCGGCGGGCGGACGTGCTTTGACGGCGTCATGATCAATTTCCACGCGTCCTACGCCATCTTCCGTCTTGATGGTATGGAACAGAAGCGTCAGGATTGGCTTGCATGATAGAAAGTAGGCAACGCTTACACGGTAACGCTTGAACCACGGGCGATAGTACTCGCTGTGACTGACTATCTGACAAGTCTGTCCTCCCATCTGGCGGTCGAACTCCATCACAGCGGTGAAGGTACGCAATAGTCTCCAGAATAACTCGTCGTCCTTCTTGTACTCCCGCTCCAGTGAGCGGGGAGTTGTGAGTCCCCTCTCGGCGAGGTGCTCGAACAATGATGCGGCCTGATACCACGCGGAATGGGCTAGCTTGGTGTGTAGCCGTCAGTATAGTTCAGCCGGTATGGATGGTGACGGTCGCTCACATGTTGAAGGATTGTTATGGCTCTCCAGGCATCTTGTCCCGTCTTGATGTGCATTTGTATAGGAGAGACACGAGCAAGTCGTACAGTCTCTGGCGACGGTATTATGGACTCTTGACGTGCTATCAGCTTCCGCGTGAAGAGCTCTATGTCTGCCCGCAGTGCTACAGCTTCATCTCGCACCCGGTCCTGGTCCTTGTCAAAAATGGCAGAGGCGCAAATAACAACCACGTACGAGTTCACTGAGAGCAATAGCTCTACAGAGCTGCCAATTCAATTCGGGAGAGCGGCCACCCTTTGCCATCCCCTCTGCGAACATGTGAGAATGGAACGGTCGCCGACGCAGTGAGCAAACTGACCATTACGACGCTAGCATCGTGTGTATGAGCTACTGCAAGAATGTGGGATCATATAGTACATACGCTCAGCCACTGTTCGGACGTCTCTCCTTTACGACGACTGGGAGCGGCCTTTGAACGAGGTGGAATGGCGATCCGGTTCATCTGTGCGAACTCGTGATATAGCCTCAATTCGTCGGGCTGACAGGTTACACCGGTGACAGCACTAAGGTCAGACTACACAGCTGATCAGAGCGGTGTTTTCGAAGGCTCATTTGAGGGACGTACTGCGGCTCTTTGAAATGTTCGCTCTTCGTTGTTCATCTCCGATATCTTCTTCGGTGCCGGACGCTCCTTGCACTTTTTCAACTTCTCGCCACCCTCAAATTCACCGTACAGGTGCAATACCCTACAGATTGGCGTCTATGAATGATGAGCTTCAGATGAAATCAAAGCCACATACTCACCAGCTTCGGAATTCTTCCTGCCCCTCCGGCGTGGTGCAGTATTTGAACGCCTTGAAGATCCACTCAGCAGCCCATGCGGATGGGACGCCCCACTGGTCCGCATGTTTGGCGTGGAAGGAGCGCGACATGATAGAGGTGCGCAGCAGACTTCGGAGGACGCGTTGGCCCCGGACTTGCCTGCGCTTCGAGAGTGTGTACTGACTGTCGCCCGGCGAGCGCGTGGTACGGGACGAAGACGCGACGACGCGCCGGACGCGTCGCGCGCATCCAACGATGCGACGCGGTCACATGAGCTTTGAGCTAATCTGTTGATGGTGACCACGCAGTCAGTTCCTCTCGAAACTGAGCAGAAATATCTTGTGAGAGATCACCGACGTAGACGTATCAAGATATCTTTTTCACCGGCATCTACTTATTAATACAAGAATGTGGCTATCTACTCCGCCATCTGATCTTCTTTATCCGTCCCTGCCTTAGCCTCGAATGTGGACATTGTCCAACCATAGACACGCGATAGACGAGCGCCGTACCACTTCACCATAAGGGGTGGGATAGTGGGATCTTGATAAGGCTGCGTAGGGTACCACCAACGAACAAGGGATTGCGCGCACACGGTGAAACGAGATGGGTCTCGCAGTCTTTGCGGGAGGATCGAAGCGCTGCGCATCCTTTCCTTCCCATCATGTTCGCCGTATGTATGGACCATCCTGGGTTTTGGCAGTGAGCTACACACCCCTGAGCGCACTACACGCTCCCTTACCATTCACAATAAGCAGCATTCCCCTCTGGAGTGCTGCAATATTTGAATATGTTGAGCATCCACTCAGCTGCCCATGGAGAGGGCAAACCCCAACGCTCGGCGTGCTGGGCGTGAATGGAGCGTGACATAGATGCGGGTAATTTTGCTCCCTTACAGAGCCTGTACAATACGGGTATGCAGATATATTGACTGGGAATCTATAGGGGCAGATGAAGAGCTGATGACCTGGCGGTCGGGAGCAAGCGCGACCCTGCTTCGCACGAGACGCGTCGTAGCGTCGTAGCCGCCTCGCGATCACATGGGCTCGCGTCACCACACGTGACAGGAGTTCCCAACCTAGCTATAAGTTGGAGATGGTGTCCTACACTTGTAGCAACCTAGGCTTGTTGAGTTATAGATCCTCACATCCACGCAGCCTCTCATTTGAAGTCTATGCCAGACTGCCGAGCCGCCAGTTACTGGTGAGGTGCTGGTGAGGTATTGGCCCAGGTGAGATGAAAAGGCGACGCGCGCGCGCTTCGTCGATCAGGATCGATCAGGAATTTACGTCGCGAATATGAGCATACAAGGATGCACATCGAAGCTTAAAGTCGCCATGAGATCTTTACTTCATCAACCAGAAGGCATCGAGTATAAGTTTGTGCGAGTAGGTTTGTGGTTTACTCTTCGGTCTCCTCCGTTTCCACGCCGGCCTTAATCTCGAAGGTAGACATGCTCCAGCCATATACTCGCGACAAGCGGGCTCCATACCACTTTGCCATAATGGGCGGAATGATGGCGTCCGGGTGTGGCTATGAGGGAATCGGATCAGTCATTTGTTCGGGTTCAGCGAAAGATGAACGTACTCGATGGAAGGATATAGGCCGGGCGGTTCTGGCAGGGGGATCAAAGCGCACCGATGAACCCGCCGTTTGGACGACTTGGAAACCGATGCGACGCATGACCTAATGCGGCATAGAGCGTTCCGGTTAGTTGCGGTTCGACCCAGGCAATGGACGGACTCAACCTTCTCGAAGTCCTGCCAGCGCACTTCGCCCTTTGCAGGTGCACCGGCATCTTCCTTGGTGAAGTCGTCGTCGTAGCGTCCATCGAGAAGACGGTGAATGATCTGTCCATTGAGATGGATAAGTCTCGGGGACCGCTACTTATCAGAGTCGAGCCGACGGTGTGCGTACCTTTGCCATTTTGCGAGGCAAGACGAACTTGATGGGCAGTGCATCGGGAGCATCGTCTAGGTTGACCTGTTGAGATTGGTCGGCCTCCGCCAGTGAAGGTTCTTGCTCTATCGTTGTCGTCTCCAATAAGGGAGTGATGTTCTATCGGTCCTGGTCAACGCTGAAATGAAGGACAATACATAAGACTTCCGACTTACATCGACGGATAGCTCAGTGCCTGAAGCCTTACTCGCGGCTTTCCCCTTCTTTTTCTTCTTCTTGACTTTGGACGGGCTTTCGAATTTGACCTCTGCCGTGTAGCTGTGCCCAGAGACGATGGCATCGTCCTTAGCTCCAGGTACCGCAATGGGGATGGTTGGCTCGTAGACTCTTGCTGCAGGAGCTGGTGTCGTCTGAGGGGCGGGGTCTTGCTGTAAGAGCTTCTGTTGGCGTCTTTTCGCGGAGGTAGGTCTTTTTGGGTCTTTGGGATCCAGCAAGCCGTACAGTCGGGCTACAGTTCCAGGCTGTCCAGGTCGGTCGAGCTTGCTGGCAGAACTCCATAGCGTGGCGTCTATGCGGAGCAAGAGAGGATCAAAGTAGGAAGGATCCCGTACCCAGAAGTTGAGGGGGTTGACTTTATTCCCAAACTCGGGACCAAAGTAGATCGCGTCCGGCTAAGGTAGGGTCAATTAATGTCTGACACATCCGAGGATCGTGACATACCTCGCGGGCTTCCTTCCAACGAACGAGTTGGTCTTCCGATACACTGCTAGCTTTTCCGTATTTGTACCTTGCGCGAACTGGGGACGGAGAGTCCGGGCCGAGCTGCATAAAAGCGAGCCGCTTGACGATTTCTTGATCGGGACATTGGGACATGATGATCTCGGCGTGTTTTCGCAATGTTTCTCCCCAAGGAGAGTCGTACACGTTGGCAATGAACTCTTGAACTAGTTATGAGTCAGTCGCGTTGGGGTCTGAGGCCAGAAAGAAGCGCTCACCTATGGCGAAGTCTCCCATGAACTCGTATGCCTCGGCGCTGAATCTCTTCCCGACCCTAGCATCACGTTTCTGTCCCAGCTGAGTATCAATCAGGTGACGAAGGACGAATGGACTTACTGTCGCTAGCTTGAGCTCTCTCCACAAGAGCATGGTAGGTGCAGCATCCGGTCCCGTCGTGCAGACTCTCATCACTGCTCTGTCGAGTGCGTCGGCGGGAGATCTTGCTGTAACTGCGTCCTTGTCTACATCTATATGCGACCAGCCATCTGGGGTCTGTTCGGACGAGATGGCCGTCAAAGACTCTTCAACTGCACTCACATGGTGTGCGCTTACGTACCCGGTAACGCTTGAACCACGGCCTATAATACTCGCTATACGTGATGATCTGAGCACTCTGCCCTACCATTGCGCGTTCTAGCTCAGCGACAGCAGTGATAACGCGCAAGAGGCGCCAAAACAGATCCAAGTCCCTCTTGTATGCACGCTCAAGCGCGCGAGGAGTGGTGATGCCTTTCTCGGCAAGATCTTCGAATAAAGTCGCGGCTTGACTCCAAGCGGAGTGAGCTAACTAAGGGTGCACACACGCGATTAGCAGAGAGTGAGGTCTTCAAAGCATCTACGTACGTGCTGAAGAAGGGTGATGGCTCGCCATGCATCCTCGGTCGTGCGAACCCAAAGATAAGCGGGACTTGAACGTCCTATCTCAACTATCTCTGGCGATGGTATGATACTTTCTCTGCGGGTCAGGATTCTTTCCGTAAACAGTTGACTGTCTGCTCGCATAGCCGCGTAGTCGTCGCGCACGCGATCCTGATATTTGTCAATGGTCATGACAGTGCTGAGGATGACTCTGACGACATACAAGTTCGCTGATAGCAATGGCTCTGCAAAGCTGCCAGTCCATCTCCGGGTAGCGTTGCCCTTGGGCTAATCCCTCTGTCACAACTGAGTCAGTCTTGTGATAGTGGATTAAGACAGCAATGCCGACCATTCCTACGCTATTCCGACCGCCAGTTCATCAGGAAAACATGTGCAAGACTGAAAGATCCAGCGAACGGCTCACAAATAGCCAATTCTCCGCTGACTCTCCTTTGCGGCGAGATGGTGCCGCGGCGGGTCGCGGCGGCATGGCCGTGCGAGTCACGCTGCAGAACTCGTGGAAAAGCTTCATCTCTCCAGGGTGACACTGTAACCCCGTGAAGGAAGTTAAATCCACCTGCAATAGTGATGTTGAGAAGACACTCAAACGTGACACGGCTACGCCTACCGCAATACGAAAGAGTGTCCTTTCCTCCTGACTCATCTCAGAAAGCCTCTTTGGTGCGCCGGGGTCCTTGGACTTGCGCATTCTCTCGTTGCCATCCTCCTCGCCGTGTTCTTTTATCATCCTACGCAAAATCGTCAGCGCATGCGATAGTAGATTCGAGTATGACCCCTACCAAGCGCGATATTCAGCGTTTCCTTCAGGTGTACTGCAGTATTTGAACAGGTTCAGCATAAACTCGGCATACCATGCGGACGGCAGGTTCCAACGTTCGGCGTGTCGAGCATGAATCGAGCGAGACATCGAGATAGATAATGTGGAGCTCCACAGCCCTTCGAGGATGAACAAAAAGTGTAGGTAGGTCGTATATGTGGTGGTCTGGGACAAGATGCGCCACGCGCGCCCAACGAGGCTCAACGACTACATCTTGATTCCCATACACGAGGGATAACGGGGGATGCGCAGATCGCATCTGTATAGAAAGAGGAAATAGTCTCCTTTCGGGGTGTGACATAATTGGAAAGCGCCAAACGCTGTACAGTGAGCATACGTGCACGAAGCCAGGCAAGCCTCATCCGCGTTTAACGACAAGCTTGCCGCGAGCTCCTTGTGTTATCTGCGCCCAGGCGCGGCGTTCCTGCAGTAAAATGTGTATATTATATCAAACCGAGCACGTCTACGATGCAGCCGACCGTGGTCATAGAGTTCTACGTCTAGTGGTGCTCGCCTCCCTCCTTCAACGCTGCAATGTGACCAGCCTTGCTGTTTTGGAAGTGGTAGGTCGTGTCGGCCCAGTAGTAGACGCTATACACTGTAATGGAGTCAGTTTCGATGGGCAGACGAGAGATATGCGGTACAACGCACCGAGGGACGCCGGGACGGCCCAGAAGACGAACTCCTTCGCGAGACGGCGGTAGCCGTTGATAATGGTGTCGCGAACCATGTGGGAAGTCGGGTTCTGGGCGACCGAGGAGAGCGCTGGGAAACGTCAGCTAGCCAGTCGTGAGCTAAGCTGCAAGATACGCACTGTAGGTAGTAACACCCTTCTGCTTCCTGAGCGCATGGTAGTCGCCCCACCATACATTCTAGACCAGACTCTGTCATTTTCTGGTCCCGGATGTAACGAGTATAGTCAAACTCACGTAGACCTTAGCTGTAAGGATTTCCATGCATTAGTCCATGGATAAATTAGGATGAACATCGCTACGCACGCCCAGGCATGTCGGACATGCGCTTCATCGTGGGCCTCATCAAGCGAGCGACGGTGGGCTGCATCCTGAACTTCTGACTACGAAGACGGACAGAACGGAGATGGGAGAGTGGTGGTGGTTGTTGGAGGCGAGCAGCGCGCGGACGTTTCCGGAGCGGCTGATTGGCCGTCGGATAACTCATTTTCCCGCAATTTCAACCCTTTTCAACCCCTTATCCGCATTGACTGCAAACTCGAACTCGAGTTGACTTTGACACTCGACTTCCAGTGGGGAAGCATCGCAGTTGGTTCTGACCATCATCATGGTCGGAAATGCCACGATAGCGTACCCGGACCTGCGCAGGCAACTTGCCGAACTAGAACTTGTACACGCGTCAATACTCGCCTACAATCCGCGAGCAGCGCGACCGCCTGTGCTCGACTCTTCGGTAGACGCTTTGCCAACTCCGCCTCAGACACTTCCAGGGTTGCGTCCCTTTCTTGAGTCTGTCGTGCGCGACAAAGAAGCTCTTACAGGGGTAGGATGTACAATACAGCGTCGTGTACCAACTTCTGCATTCCAGTAGTTCCTCGCCGATCCTCACGTAGCTGAACTGCCGCCCTTGTCTACCAATGCACCATACTTGATATCTGTCTGGAAAGAGGTCCTTGCTGCATCAATATTGGGTCCGATCGTTGCCGTAGGCAAGACTTTCTACGATGGTAACCCGGGTCGCGTGCGTCAACCAAAAGCGCAAAGCACAAAATCCGCGAAGAACGCTGGCGTCAAAGTCGATGTCGTGGCGGAGGACGGGAGATCGTGGATCAGGGTGAACACGTAGGCCTTCTCTTGCGTCGGACATCGCTTCATTTTAACGCGATCTGTCTAGCACCAAGAACTCGCGGCTGCTGGCCGAATTTCGCGAGATCGATTCGTATGACACTGGCTCCGAGTCAGAGGACGAGCACGGGCGCCCCTCCCTGGCCCAACGAGAGTTTGATAACTCCCTACTCTCTGCTGGCCGAGCGCTTATTGCTGCAGCCAACGCAAATCCCTTCCCTGGACGAGACGGGCCGCAGCTTCCGAAGGTCACCTTGAGACTTACGCGCCTCGATCCAGCAGCCAGCAACGACGAGCGATTGGCTCAGACGGTTCAGTTGCTGCACGACATGGGACTTCAGGTGTTATTAGGAGATAGACCAGAGAACTTTGACTTCAGCTCTACCTCAGAACCATCCGACGTCACAGAGCTCGTACCTACAAGTCGTGTCAACCTTGATCTTTCCATCCTGATCGCCTTCATATCCGATCTTACACATGCCCCGCTGCCCGCCACGGAAGACGAGGCAGAGAAGCGCTTTGTCCCCTCCACGTCTTACATCGAGTGGAAGCGATCACGCACGCGTGCCAGACGGGGCGAGGATGGAGAGGAAGATGCGACTGCCGAAGCGGACGATGATCTGATCAAGCATTCACGCGCCCTGGCCGACCAGCAGAAGCAGGAGATGACTCAAGGTTTGCTGCATGAAGTGCACAGGAGACTTTCGATGTCTTCGAAGAGCGCTGACTTGTCAGACGCCGAGTTTTGGACGACGAAGGAGGCGCGAGACCGTTGCTTGAGGATCGTTGCAAAGATTGGTGGACCCGATGAGCGCAGGCGTGTGAAAGCACTCTTCCCGTCCCCGGATGTTCCTCTAGAGCAGGCTCAACTAGAGTACTGGCGCGATTCACGATACCCCGTCAACTTTCTCCCCTTGCTTCCAATCCGTATCTACCCTACCGCCTCTCCCGAGGGTCCCTCCCGTCCAGCATCCCAGTTTGCGGCGGCACTCGAAGCGACTTGTCGTGATCTGCTTGCGCAAGGACCGACTGACAATCCGAAGTCAGCACCACCTCCACCCACCTGGCAGAAAGCGAACAGTGGCGGTGCGACTCGCCACGACGCAGATGAACTATCAACAGCGCTCGTGAACACGAGCCTCGCCGCCAGTGATGGACCGGATGACGAGATCGGCCGAGCGCTGGTAACGCGCGCCAATCCCAAGCTCACGGAACATACCGTCCACAGTACGCTCTGGGGCGCCGTGCGCGGCTCAACGACGTTGACTGCCAACCGCGCAAGCGTCAAAGCCTTCCTGCGCGAGATGCGTGTAAGGGGCCTTGGCACGGGCGGCGCCGAGGTCGCCGTAGATGCCAGTGGTGGCGGGGCTGGGGTTGAAGATGCTGTCATATGGACTGTAGACCCGCGTAGTCTCGCCGAGGGCATGCGATCGGACTTCACTAGTGCTGCGTGATAGATATATAAAGAGCAAAACATGTACATTCAAATTTGTAGCATGAAAGCAGTAGCACAACTTGAAGTTTACTATGCTGAAACCGGGTTCATTCCGCTCATCACTTCGTACAACCCATCCACCTGTCTTCGCTGTAAGTGCTCGCTCCAGAAACGCATGATCGGCTCCCATTCCTCTCGCGACCTTGGCATTCCCTCACCCCGCATACTCACGTCGCGGACGTCTGTAAAGCCCTTCTTGAAGGCCGCCATGCTATTGTTCGGCATCGCACCTTCGGCTGGCGGCGGTCTCGCGAAGACAAATAGTGACGTAGGACACGGGCGTGATAGCGTGTTTGGATATGACAGCAGAGGGCCGGCCACGGTCACTACTGATGCCAACGCCTGACCTGACCCGGCTGTCTGCGGCTGCGCGCGCCACCACTTCAACGCGCTCTCGACAGCGACAGTACCTCCTTGAGCGAAGCCAAAGAGATGTATGCGGTCCGCGGGCCAAGCACAATCCTGTGTGAGATGAGCGAGAACCTTCGACAGCAAGTCTAAGGCCGGCGTTGGATTAGGGTTCTCGATAAGATCACCGATACCGTCGAAGGACGTGTACCACTGGTATGCCTCCTCGTACAGGAACGGGATTCTGGATAGCGTATGAGAAGGGAAGCTGTCGATATGCCAAATGTAACACACTTATCCGGAGCCCTGAGAGCGAGTGTGGCCGTTTGTGGAAGCTTGAGCGAACGCCCTAGTTTACTGAAAGGTACATGGGTGTCGCCTGTTCACTAGGACATGAGAGAGGGTATTGGGCGGAAGTGAAGGCCACCATACCGAGTCCATGAAGCAAGATCAAGAGGGTTTCGTCCGTTCCGTCGTCGCTTGGAGAGTACGAGAAGGGCGTTCGAATCACAGTCGACTTCGGTGCGGGCTTCACTCTAGGGCTGGAGGCCGGAGACGCCTCCCGGACATGGTATTGCGATGACTCAGCCATTGATACTCCGGAGCTCAGCAGAGATTGTTGGTCAGCAAAGGCTGCTTCAAGATATGCTGCCAGAGCACGATCTGAGCGGATGATGGAAAGAGAGAAGTCAGTTTTAGAACCTGCTCAGAGCGGTCTGCGCGCTTGTGCACAACGAAATATTGCTTGTATTTCCGGATGACGTTGACGCAATCATCGTGCTCAACGTATGAGCCGTACATGCACACAACATATATACCGAATCAGCCAGCGGTGATGGTATCTTCCGAGAGTCCTAGGCGCGACGCCGAAACATGCGCGGAAGCTGTCGCCTGCGATGCCGCCGCTTCAACCCAAACGTCCATGATAACCCATATCCCAATGAAATCCCACTCATGCTCGTGTTACGTCTCTCTCATCTCTTCCCGCGACGCGCGCCCTGTATTTGGCATTGGCGCTGTGGCTTCGGGTTGCGTGGCTTGCGGCGCGCCAGCCTCACCGCGTTTCATGGACTCGAGGCGGGCGAGCGTCGCCTCTTGATATGCCCGTTCTTCGGCGTCGTAACGACCACATCGCCACCAGCTACGGCCGCTACTACTCTCGTGCATGCCGCTCATGTTAGGGCCTATAGCGGTCTTATTAGGATGGTCTTTATCCTCGAGACAGGGATGACGCACCTTGTGAACTTCCACATAACCCCGCGCAGCAACCGACACCTGGACATTTTGAGCTCCCCAGAGTCGATGCAGTCAGGCTCTGCAGACGTACAACATAGCCCACAGCATGCACCGGCGCATTCACTCCAATCAGCCATGTCAAAGTCTCAGCGGGTGAAGGTGGATGCGAAGAGTCGACGAGACGTTGGTCGATGGAGTAATGAACGAACTCTATGGCAACGGCGTTCTCTTTATGCGTCTGCGCCAAGCAGGGTTCCCCTTTCCAACCTCCACTCACGATGCACGCGCACATCGCGCGGTACGTGCCGATGGGCAGTGCAACCCGCACGGCAACTTTCGCCGTCGCGGGACATTCATATCATAAACAGATAGCACGAGGCAATACACAGTTCCGCTTTGCGACAGCCCAAACTGATACATATCTGCATCAACTGTCACTGCTGGACACTCATACGGTTGTCAGCGCTGATGTCTCAGTCCGAAATATACATTGAGATACTCACGTTCATTCAGGTGAACACTAAGGCAGCTGTCTGATCCTGCATGTTCTGCGCCTTTCTTTCCATCCCCCGAGCTTTATTAGGCCGTCCTGCCTTGACTCTTTGCTCTGCAGGTGCTGTTGTAGTCCCATCTTTTGCAGCCTCCTTCTGCGCTTCTATTGTGTCTGTCAATGTACCGTGTTGGCTATACGTAAATGTCATCAGGCGTACTATTGCGCTTTCTGTTCCTGAAGAACCATTTCACTTCATTCACTACCGCCTAGTCAACAGGTGATTCCGGTCATCACACGATCCGCGTACTCATCGCACTGAAGCATAGTTCGCTCTGTCCAGCTCCGGTGTCCATACCGATGGTGGTGGGCTGTGGATGATGGACATCGTGCGAGAAATGGGACCTAAGTACGACGAGGCTTGTATTCAGAAGCCATGATCTTGAACACGAGACTAGGCGCCAACAGCGAGGCAGTGCCTCCCGTTCATCTCGATGATCCTACGCGTTCAGTGTTCTTTCTGTCTCAAATGAACGGAGAACATGAAGGTTCTTCTGACGATCTTCAAGGTAGACAAAGTCATCTTGACATCCGACACAGAATCCTACATGGTATTGTGGTGGTACGGTCATCGTTTGATTGCCGCGTATGTTCGACTCAACAGAGTGTTCCAAAATCGTAGAAACGTCTATCCTCACAGGTATATATGGACGGGAGTACTTCGAGCGCGACATGATGGCGCAGGAGGCGAGCTACTTAGTGTGGTGGGATTGTCGGTTTTGGAGGAACAGTTAGTTCGTTCCACTCGTAACGTTTTGGCGGGACCTGCCCTACGGACATCGATGTCGAAGTAGGCTGGCTCGAGATGGTAGAGGTACCGCCGCTATGTTCGGGCCCATGATCGCGTCGGATCTCCTCTGTGGGCTCGATTCAGATGGGATGTCAAGATGTCAGGAAGTGCGGTGAAGACCAACCCCCTCTACAACGCGCGCCGATGTCAGAGACTGATGATATACGCGGATCAGTGATGGTCGTGGGTCGCGAGTCGAGAAAGCGGGAACGTACAGCAAATGGAGAAGCACTTCCCCAGCTCGATGAAACAACCTATGATATCGCACATGCGAGCAATCCTGTTCGTGAAGGGGGCGTAATGGAGAAGAGAAAAACAGTGGCACGTCTCCACACCAGCAGCGCCCGTTATATGCGGATTTGCTGTCTTCCGAAGCAACACGTTGGCGGGATCATCAAGAAGAAGCCCGTATAGACGCCCGTATGAGCTTCTTCCCAACGTCCGAAGCCCGCAAACCTTCGTACGTTTGTATAGAAGATGATCACGCAGCCGAATACGTCTGTCCAAGGAGGTTACATGATCATCACGGCGCGCGTATCACCGTTTACTCGTGCATTGTATACGAATGGGACCTTTCTGTCGCAAAAAAATAATCGCCCCGCTGATCACTGCTGACTGGTCGGCACCTAATTGGCGTCATCATAGGTCAGGACCTGGTGCCAGGTGGGCAGTGGGTCGGCAGTGGGTCGGCACCTGGTGGGCAGTTGATCGCCATATGCAATCCACGTGCGAGGGCGATGCTCTCCAGCCTGCGCTCGACGAACTGAGTCGCGTACTACTAAGGGACTCTAACTTCGTTTGTTGAAAAGCCCGAAAGACACAAACATTTGTTCCCACTTCTCCCGGAAAAGCGGTTGCATCAGCGTTCCAAGCGTCGAAAAGTGAGTCGATGTTGCGGGTCGCGCACGTCCAAAATTGGGCGTCTCAAGGCATGTGTCAATGAATTCGCAGCCGTTTGACAACGCATAGAACTGCTACAGCATAAACCTCATCCAATATCGACAGTACCCCGCGAGTGCCTTCGATAATCGTGGTGATGATTTGGCCGTCGAGCTCGTCGCGGTTTGTGGCCATGCGCGGCCCACGTGCAAAGCGTCACCTGCCGACCTCTGCCGACGCGATGCCCACCAGCTGCCCGGCCACTGCCC